CTTTTCTTAAAGATATTCTAAAAATTAAATATTTTTGAAGTTTCTGCTATATTTTCGAAGATTTAGCTATTCCCTATACCTCGAATATGAAACTTTTGTGGCTGAAAATAAGAAATAAATACGTGAAATAAATTCAAATAATAGATACAGAATAGTGTACAATAACATTAAATTGATAATTTGGTATTCTGTGCAATTGTAAACATTCCTATATTCCTAAGTGTTTAAGAATGTTCAATACTTTCAATAAATAGTGTTCAATACTTTCATTAAATGAATATTTCCTTTATAGCAACGGTGCTTTTACAATATGAACCGTAAGAAATTTCACGATTAACAGGATTCAAATGACACAAATTAATTTTATTCCCCAGATATCGACGACAGTCTACCTTTCGGAGACGCTACGCTACAATCGTCTCTGACCACAACTTTCGTCTGATGCCTTACCCCGGACATCTTCGGCCAGCAATACATTGGGGTCCGTTTAACCCCTCCACTCCCGACAGTATTCGGCCACATTCCAGTCTCCACCGCCCTATCGCATCCACTCGAGCCACCAACACATCCGGTGCCGTTTTCTCTGGCTACTCTCGCCGCCTCCACTGCTGCTCCTCCCCTGCTTCTGCTTCACGATTGCATGATGCTCTAGGGCACGTCAACTGCTGTGGTCATTAGTCGTTTTCGTGCTTTAAATGTTTAACACTGAGGCGCTGTTGCCCCCCCCCCGCTGGCTTGTCAGTTACGACACCGACCTACATGACAACTTGGTAATGGATTTCCACCTTCAGGTATTTACCCAACATGGCACGGCTGGGACAAGCTCTAAGCTCCCGACTGGTATGTTTGGTAAGTGTAGTGATGTAAGTGTACATGTGTGGTAAGTAAGGGAGGAAGGAAGGTGCGTGTCCGTGCGCTCTAGTCAAGCCACAACCCATTCTGCCGCCAAACCGCCACATTGCTAGCATCGTTTGTGCTCATACTTACTCACGCTTCAGTCCTGACACCCATGTCTTCGCCCGCCTTCCCCCTGTTCATCGTCTCTCGCGGAGCCTCGATGCTCGCCGCGTGAATCCTCAGTCGCCCGCCCAGCGGGTCCCACCTTTGCTCTTGTTTCCGTACATCTCGTGAGGCCCCTGCTGACTATCAATCCGAGCCATTCCGAACTCTCCATCCGTTCAGCCACTTCGCCTCGCGCGAGGGTTCGCTCTACGCTTAGCCGGCACTCCGATGCACTCCCAATTCGCTGCGCCGCACTCTCTCTCGGCGCTCAACTCTGCTGTCGCTTCCCATCTGCTTCACACAGGGAATTGGTCATTCAACTGATGTCATTCGCAAGCCCTGGCCAGAGGTCGAAGTAAGTCCGACTGTGGATGATCGTTGCTAGCTAACTAGATGCTACGTGTCGGAGTTCGTCGCTGTCTGGAGGGAATTAGAGGCCCCGCCCTCATATAGAAGTTTCCGTATTTTTTTATCAATACCACGAATTTTCAAGCAGCTACCAAACAGAGGGCGACACGGCCAACGTGAATCTTTCTTCTCTTCCATATCCCTTATATATCATCTTACAAAAGCATGAAATACACAAACATAGCATAAGTACTTGGAATTGTTCAGGCCATGTGTCCCCGCAGGTGGAAATACCTGGTTGGGGAAATCCCGTAGCCGATGTGTCAGTATTGAGCTGGATCTCAACATGTAACGGGAGAATCACCACCATCTCGCGATAAACATGCATTACACTACGGACAAATGACCCTCAGCACTAGTACGCCGATATCACTAATCGATCAATAAACCGAATATGCTTCCACCTCTGTTCTCATTCTTCCGGGTCGCTCTCCAACATCTACTATTGCCCAAACTCATTCCAGTGACAACCTCGCCTTTCACCGCGACTAACTCTCCACTCACGCGTCCCACCACCACCGCCACCTCCTCTACTACCTTAACCCAGCACTCCCGAGCCACGTCAGGAAGGCACTACCCGACGCTTCAC